AATCGTAGTGTTTCCTGTACCTAATAAAATACACTCAGTGCTGACCGACTGTACCAGTAATTGTGGTGTTTTCCTGTTTCTGATAATATACACTCAATGCTGACTGACTGTACCAGTAATCGTAGTGTTTCCTGTGCCTAATAAAATACACTCGGTGCTGACCGACTGTACCAGTATTCATGGTGTTTTCCTGTTCCTGATAAAATACACTCAATGCTGACCGACTGTACCAGTAATCGTAGTGTTTCCTGTACCCAGTAAAATACACTCACTGCCAACTGACTGCACCAGTAATCGTAGTGTTTCCTGTACCGAATAAAATACACTCACTGCTGACAGACTGTACTCCTGATATAATACACTCAATGCTGACCGACTGTACCAGTAATTGTAGTGTTTCCTGTACCCAATAAAATACACTCAATGCTGACCAACTGTACCAGTAATCATAGTGTTTCCTGTACCGAATGAAATACACTCACTGCTGTCCGACTGTACTCCTGATATAATACACTCAATGTTGATTGACTGTACCAGTAATCGTAGTGTTTCCTGTATCCAATAAAATACACTCAGTGCTGACCGACTGTACTCCTGATATAATACACTCAATGTGGACTGACTGTACCAGTAATCGTAGTGTTTTCCTGTTCCGGATAAAATACACTCAATGCGGACTGACTGTACCACTAATCACAGTGCTTGTTGCATTTGAAACAGAAACTTTTTTTGTGAGTATCTCTTTACCGGACATTATGTTTGCTTTGACAGGTTGTGGTGGTCTGTTTTGTGCTAGTCTTGGGCTCCTTCATGCCCTGTCTCCCAGAATTCTCCACTGGCTCCCAGACAGTCAAAACAGCTCCACTGTCTGCATCTGATGTCTACACCACTAGCCAGAGTAAGTATTGCTCTGTGAGGCTGTTTGCTGTAGTCTTTGATTTGTGAATCTGCACTTGTTGTGCCCCAGTTGGCAAATTTATGTCCTGTATCTCCAGTCTGACAGAATGCTAGGACCCTTCATTCAGTCACTGAGACTGGCACTGGTGAAATATTGGCATCGCATTCTCAAAACCAGGGGCATATGCCCTGGGAAGGTAATTATGTCATTGTGCATTAGTGTCAAGCAGGCATCACCCATACAGTCATCTGTTATCCCTCTGCCCCACAATTTTATTTCTCATTCAATTCAATGAAAATGGGGATCGATGCTGAACGTGGGTATTTGACTCAGCCTTAACCATTCTAAGCTCTCACCGCAAGAACAAAATTACATCTAACATAGACTGGAACAACCCGCTCTCATCCTGGAATTAGACTCCGTTTGGATTCATGCCAGATTAAATGCTGCCTAAATCCAATGGAACAGCTCTCTACAATAATGCTGCCTGGTAAACACTGTTTCCCCTCTACCTGCAACTTTTTGAATTGTTTCTAAATGCCAGCTTTCAGTAACTTATGAGCAAGGCACCTTCATTAAAACATTCCATTCTCTTTCCATTCACAGAATGCTCTGCACCCCCCAAAGTAGGTAACCTCACACCTATCTGCATTATATTCCAACTGCCCTGCTCATGCCCACTCACTCTTGCCTCTTTTGAAGCCTCTTTGTGTCCTCCCGACAACACACGTCCCTGCCTGGTTTTATATCATCCTCAGACTTAGAAACATTTCATGTGGTCCCCATGTCCACATCCATTGAGCAGATTGTGAACTGGCGCCCAAGCACTGATCCTTGTAATAGCAAGATCAAAATTATGTACCAGAAAGCAGTGTAAAAGCAGGAGATTGGCATTAGGTTAATGTTGGAACAGCCACTGTAGATATGATGGGCTGAATGACCTCGTTCTGCACCGTAACAGTTCTGTGATTCGGAACATGGTTCTGACATCCCTTCCCCTGTAGCTTTAGAGCAAGGGTTACTGCTCCAATTATTAACAAGCTGAAGCCTCTTGTTTAGATGCAGAGAGAGGAATTCCAATCACCTTGTAGCTCCTGGTCCCAGACATTCAGCAGTTTCTGGGCCCAGGAGCTTGAAGATTCCTGTGCCTTCAGGAGACTCAGTAACATGAGTCCAGTCACAGTCTGGGCTCAGGTCCAGCCACTGGAACACGCTGCCCAGTTGGAAATCCACAAGCTGTAAGGATTTCAAAAAATGCCCTCCAGCTCAGATACTTTTGCCAGCTTGGCCAACAACAAACAGTGTTCAGCTACTTTACACACCCCCTCCCTCCCCATTTCCCCCTCCCCTCATGCCCCTAACTGTAGAAGAAAGAATCCAAAGCAGTAAAAGAGGCACATTGGGTGTTAGTGACATCGCCCTGGTAATGGTACAAAGCCTGTTGCCTTTACAAAATAAGTGTCTATAAGGACAGCCAAGTCTAGAAACAATCAGCAGACCAGGCAATATCTACCAAGGGACAAACAGAGATCGTTAACATTTCCAGTCAGACAGGGTTCCTAGAGACCACTGAAGTCTGGAATTCTGAAGAAGGGTCACTGGAACCAAAACGTTAGCTCTGCTTTCTCTCCACAGGGTGCTGCCAGACCTGCTGATTTTCTCTCCAGCAATTTCTGAGTTTGTTTCAGATCTGCGCAGTGTTTTGCCTTCGGCAGGGTGGATTTTGCTGCCATTCCTGCTCCCATCAGGAAGGTGGGATTGGGCTGGTTGACTGCCCTTGTTTCTGTCCCTATGACTGGGGGCCACACTCCAGGAGCTGTGGAGTCATAATCAGGGTGATCACACTTGCTTTAAAGCTACAGAGGCGGGGATGTCAGAGGTGCGTTCCTGCCTGATAGCACTGTTGGAGGCCATTCAGCCCCACCCCTTGCCAATGCTCCCTTGGCTGGGCTATCTGATTAGTCCCACTCCCCTGGAGCTTGGCCATGTTTTCCCCCTTTCCCAGTATTTATCCAGTTCTCCACTGAACGTCGTGGTTGTATCTGCCTCCACCACTCTCTCAGGCAGCACATTCCAGACCATCACGAATTGCCTTAAATCTAAGTCCTCTGGCAAATGAGCCACTGGAAACTGTTTTCCCCGATTTTGTTTGGTCAAAATCTTTTGTGATTTTGAATACAGTGATCAACTATTCTCTTAGCATTCTCTGTGTGAAGAGTAGATCCACATTGACCCCCTCCCTCCCTCCCCGTGGATTTATCTCAAGGATTTTTGTGGTTTAGCAGAATCGGTTCTCCTCTTGCGTAAAAGGGTTTCACACCTCCTCTGGGCTTGATCCCTCCATTTGACCCACCGTGGGATTAGGTGAGGATGAATTGGAATAGGTAACGGAATGCATGATAGGGCTTTCTGTGCAGCCATTTCTGGAATAGGCCTGCCTAACCCCTGTTCATCAGCTCCCTGCCTTGCTCAGGAAGCAGCACATCTCAGTAATAATTGTCGAACAGCAATCAAATTGACTACAGCAACAAAAAAAGGACAAGGCAATTATATCGAACCTTTCAGGACCTCAGGAGGTCTGTCACTTTACTCCAATTACCTGGATTTTAAATCCCTTAATGATCTTATCAACAAAGAATTACAGATACAATGATGATTCATGGTGTTAACATGTAGATGACAGAATAAGCTTGAGGGTCCTCCTACACTCCAAAGTGCCAGCTGAGGTTTACTCCTTGTTGTCATATAGGAAGCATATTCCTACCAGATAAAACACTGGCATCTACCCGGCAATGTGGAAAATTTTCCAGATATGTCCTGCGCACAAAAAAGCAGGACAAATCCAACCCAGCCAATTCCTGCCCCATCAGTCTCCTCTCGATCATCAGTAAAGTGATGGAAGGTGTCAGTAACAGCGCTATCAAGCAGCATCTGCTCAGCAATAACCTGCTCAGTGACGCCCAGTTTGGGTTCCGCCAGGGCCACTCAGCTCCTGACCTCATTACAGCCTTCGTTCAAACATGGACAAAAGAGCTGAATTCCAGAGGTGAGGTGAGAATGACAGCCCTTGACATCAAGGCTGCATTCGACCAAGCGTGGTATCAAGGAGCCCTCGCAAAACTGAAATCAATAGGTATCCGGGGGAAAACTCTCTGCTGGTTGGAGTCATACCTGACACATAGGAAGTGGTTGTGAGCGGTCAATCATCTCAGCTCCAGGACATCTCTGCAGGAGTTCCTCAGGGTAGTGTCCTAGGCCCAACCACCTTAAGCTGCTTCATCAATGACTTTCCCTCCATCATAAGGTCAGAAGTGGGGATGTTCACTGATGATTAGACAATGCTTAGCACCATTCACAACTCCTCAGATACTGAAGCAGTCAATGTCCAAATGCAACAAGATCTGGACAATATCCAGGCTTGGACTGACAAGGGGCAAGTAATAATCATGCCACACAAATGGCAGGCTATGACCACCTTCAATAAGAGACAATCGAACCACTGCCCCTTAACATTCAATGGTGTTACCATCACTGAATCCCCTACTATCAATATCCAGGTATTACTGTTGACCAGAACTCAATTGGACTCACCATATAATGGCTACAAGAACAGGTCAGAGGCTAGGAATACTGTGACGAGTAACTCACCTCCTGATTCCCCAAAGTCTGTCCACCATCTACAAGGCACAAGTCAGGAGTGTGATGGAATACTTCCCACTTGCCTGGATGGGTGCAGCCCCAACAACACTCAAGAAGCTTGACACCATCCTGGACAAAGCAGCCCACTTGATTGGCACCACATTCACAAACATGCACTCCCTTTATCACTAACGCTCAGTAGCAGCAGTATGCGCCATCTACAAAATGTACTGCAGAAATATATCACAGCAATGTGGTTGACTCTTAACTGCTCTCTGGGCAATTAGGGATGGGCAGTAATGCAGGCTTTGTCACTGATGCCCTCATCCTGTGAATGAATAAAGAAAAAAAATTCACCAAAGATCCTCACACAGCACCTTCCAAACCCATGACCACTTCCGTCTAGAAGGACAAGGGCAGCAGATACATGGGAACACCACCACCTACAAATTCCCCTCCAAGCCACTCACCATCCTGACTTGGAAATATATCGCCATTCCTTCATTGTCGCTGGGTCAAAATCCTGGAATTCCCTCCCTAAGGGCATTGTGGGTCAACCTGTAGCAAATGAATTGCGGTGGTCCAAGAAGGCAGCTCACCACCACCTTCTGAAGGGCAACTAGGGACAGGCAATAAACACTGGCCCAGCCAGCAATGCCGATGAGTCATGAGTGAATAAAAAAAACTCAATTAGATCATCCCTGAATTGTTTATTAAGTTTCTATTAGTAAAAATGTTACTGGGACCTGAAGTTGAGAAGTACCTAGGATCGGATTATTTATATCCCAGAGTGTTGAAGGAGTTGGCTGTAGAAACAGTTGATGCATTAGCGATTGTTTTCCGAAATTCCGTAAAATGGTTCCTGTGGATTGGAAGGTTGCACTTGTCACACCAACATTTAAGAAAGGAAGGACGGAGCTGTGGACCGGCTCACCTGCCATCAGTATAACAGGAAATACTCTCACCGTTAAGGAGGATGCGATAACTGGACATTTTGAAAACAATGTTCCAGTTGGGAATTGACAACGTCTGAAGAGAACCGAGGAGGAATCTCGGTGAGAGATGCCAATCTCTGGAACTCTCTTCAACGGAGAGCAATTGGGGCTGGGTCATCAGAACACAATCAAGGCAGAGTTAAGCAGGTTTTTGATTGGCAATGGGATCCAGGATTATGGGCACAGACAAGAAAGCCAAGTTAGGCTGCAATTGGAGCAGCATTGGTGTAACTCAGTGGCAGAGCTATACTGACTGGCTTCCACTTCCTCCCCTTCCTTCTGTGATTTCTGTTCTCATGCAGGTCTGTCCGGGCTTCCTGCACTAGCAGGAGCGATTTTCCTCTGTCCTAACCTGTGGAAGTCCTGACCACTTCCCTGTGTTTACTTTGCACAGTTCGGTCCAGGAGCCTGCTGTTTTATGACGAGGGGTCATCCCTGGAGGATCACTATTCTGCTTTCTTCCCGGTGGAGAACTCAGAGAAGTGGGAGCTGTCATCCAGAGACACAAAAGAACAGAAGAGGTCGCACGACAGATCAAATGATTACATCAGCTGGTCGCAGGAGACATCCAAATACCTGAGCAATGCCCACGTGGAGGTGATCGGGTCCAATAAAACTGACCACAGGAAATTAGTTCAGGAGAAAGCACATCATGAGAGATGGGCATCGACAGCTGTCATCGCAGCCAAATCTTTGTAACTGGACTGGCCTTTAATTAACCCTTCGGTAGAGATCCTTTTATTTTGCAAGCCTAAGTGTTCGATGTTTTTTTTTGCGTGTGCATGGGAATCTGTATCAGAATGTCTATGTATGGATGTATATGTGTATGTCTGTGTGTGTAAGTATGCCTGTGTATGAATGTGTGCATTAGATTCTCTGTGTTGCTGTTCCTACCACAGTCTGCACTGATCTGCCCCTGCCCCGTGTCCTTCACTATTTTCATTACTCCCACCGCATTACTTGCTCATCCCATTACACTCTTCAATATCTTCACTGTGTCCTTTTCCGGTTCTCCCTTTGTGGCTTCTGCGGTTAGCACTGCATTCCTCATGAATCTCACTTCCCTTACTTGGGAATTCTCAATGTGCCCCTGACCATTTTCACTGTTTGCCACCGATCCTGCAATCTTTGGTTTGTTTCTCCCTGTTAACAATGAGTTTCTCGCTATTCTCACTGCACTCCTCACTATTCTCAGCCTGCTCCTCATTGCTAATACTCGAGTTCCTCACTATTTTCAAAGTGTTCCACGCTATTCACATAATTGATGGTTGGGTTTTGGCATCTGTACGATGTGATCTATATTTGCACAAATGAGGGGACCCTTGACACAAGAATGGAAGCCGTGCAAATAAGAGTGAACTACCTGAATCAAAGTTTAAAAATCACACTGTGCAATACCACGGAAGCATCCCGGTTAAACACGCTGTGGTTCTTATCACTAAATAAAGGTAATTTTGATTTTGTATGGGGATAAACTGGGCATTGTTGTGTGTACAGGGTTGTCACTGTTTTCTTCAGTGTGTAGAAGCATCTTTTAATACGTCTACCACAAACCAACTTTCATGATGGAGAGTGTGGGAACAATATCCAGCTAACATGTTATAGCAGCTATTTAGAAATAAAATGCTTCCTGTTGCATTCAACTGATTGTGTGGAGCTGCCGTGCTTTGTTTCCTGATGACTAACCCACCGCTTGAGCAGTTTGAAACAATGGATGGGATGGGTACTGACCAGCCATATCAGCAGATCTTCCAAATGTTGCTTTCCAGGGTCCTGTGGCTTTATTCCATCCATGCTTGGACTTCCACACTTAGCCCCCATCTCCCCCTTTACCCTGACAGGATCTCTGATTGAAACAACAACAGTTACTCATTGGAGGCCTTCTAACCTTCTCCCTGGAATGGGGGGTGGGGGTTGGCGAGTTGGGTGGCGGGGGGGGTGGGGAATGGGTTGCTAACAGGCCTGAGGGTCAGCATGACTTCCAGTCTTCGGGGAACAGTCCCTAGAAAAGACAAGACCAAGAGACGATTATGGAATTGAGAATAGATTTAATCGGGAAAATCTTCCCAGTCACCACATTGCCCAAAACCTGGGGGCTCTTCAATATGATTGTCACCAATACACTCAACTCTTCCGGGATCCTCTTTAGTTAAGGAGTGACCTGAGTGTGTGACTTGGCAGGCAAACGTTGAAAAATTTGATGCATCTAAGAAGAAACTGGATAACTACATGACAAAGAAAGGAAAGTGTCAATGGGGTGGGATGAAGCAGGCTTTTGGGGAGTGTAAACACCAGTATGGGCCAAATGGCCTGCACAATCTTTGCTTCCATAAATAAGTTGCAACTCATTTGACCTGGGACCTGAAAACTCGATAAGAGAGGGCGCTGCCTTAAATGACACTAGGGGAAGTGGGGTGAAAGATGGAAAACAAAGATTGCATTTAATTATCGATGTTTAGAGCACATCAGGACGGACTCCAAGGAGTGTCGACCCTGCTCCCTCTCTTCTCTTCAATGCTCTACGGATTAGCTCAGTGAATAGCCAAGATATAATACTCGGAAGGTTCCGGCCTTCGGTCTCTTAAGTTGTGTTGAGTCATTAGTATCAGTTAAGGTAGCGGCAAAGGTGCCACAGATTCAGCTTCAAAGGTTACTCAGTAGAAGATTAGCCAGAGATCCAGCCGATCAACAGTGATATCTCCTCCAGTCACTCACTGTGGTTATTTGGAGGAGAGCTGGGATACACCATTGGGTAAAGACAAATAGAATGTTGGCCTTTATTTCAAACAGAATGCAGAATAAAAATAGGGAGGTTTTGCTAAAACTATACAAGGCAATAGTCAGACAACAGCTGGAATACTGTGATAACACAGTGTGGAGCTGGAGGAACACAGCAGGCCAGGCAGCATCAGAGGAGCAGGAAAGTTGACGTCTCAGGTCAGGAATCTTTTCTGAAGAAGAAGGGTCCCGACCTGAAACATCAACTTTCCTGCTCCTCAGATGCTGCCTGGCCTGCTGTGTTCCTCCAGCTCTATACTGTGTTGTCCCTGACTCCTGCATCGGCAGTTCTTACCGTCCCTGAGCTGGAATACTGTGACCAGTTTTGAGCCCCTTAACCACGAAGGGCATATTGGCATTGGAGGCAGTCCAGAGAAGGTTCACTAGATTGATCCTGGTTATGGAGGACTGTATTACAAGGAGAGGTTGAGACTGCATCTGTACTCATTGGGATTTAGAGAAATGAGAGGCGACCTTATTCAAACAGGCAAGATCCTCAGGGGGCTTGACAAGGTCGATGTGGAAAGGTTGTTTCTCCTTGTGGGAGACCAGAGGACGTAAGCTCAGAATAAAGGGTCACACATTAGGTCACACAGAGGAGTTTCTTCTCTCAGAGGGGAGTAAATCTGTCGAATTCTGCACTGCAGAGGATTGTTAAGGCTGCGTTGTTAAGTGTATTCAGGGCTGAGATAGATATGTAATCAGTAAGGGACTATGGGGACTAGGCAGGAAAGTGGAGTTGAGGACTATCAGATCAACCATGATCTCAGTGAATGGCAGAGCAGACTCAATTGGCTGAATGGCCTTCTTATGCACTTACATCCTGTGGTCAGTATGGAATAGTCATCTGATGCTTGTGATCTAGGATTATCTTGAAGAATTGACATAGTCTCAAAGAGTGGCTCTTCGACTCATAGAGAGAGGGAAAGTGGGGGAGACAGACATACACACTCACACACAAAAAGACACACTCACAGGCACAGAACACACACACATACACACACACACGCACGCACACAGATGCAACCACTCATGCACACATATGCACACAAAGATATTCACACTCACACAGATCCACACACACAGCGTTAGATTTAAAGCTCCCATACTGCAGGCAGAGAGGACAGCCAGAGAACCAAATGTGACTTAAAATGAAAATTAGAAAATGTTTCAGAGATAGTAGGAACTGCAGATG